CCATGGAAAATGTCCTGCATTTCGTCAACACTGAGACCAAAACCAAGCGTTTTGTACTACAGGCATGTGCTCGAGTGTTCAACCCTATGGGCCTTGTCGCACCATACATCATCCGAGTCAAGATCATATTCCAGCAGCTGTGGAAACTTAAAATCGGCTGGGATGTGGAGCTGCCTGGTGATCTTGCCGCAGAGTGGCAGCAGTGGTGTATGGAACTCACATGCTTGAAGACCCTGGCCGTCGACCGCCGTACCTTGCCGTGCCCGGCAGGAAGCGCCAAGTCGATGCAGCTACACGTGTTTTGTGACGCAACCTAACTAGGCTACGGGGCGTGCGCCTACCTTTGCGTAGAGGACAGGGTGGCCAGATGCGGCCGAGCGAATAAGCAAATAGTCGTCCCCAACCAAGCCCAAACAAAGCGGCGTGACCTTCGTGAAGAAGCCCAAAACAAGCGGAAGTTCAATAAATGTACACATTTTGAAAATAGTTTATTAATAATAAAATGGGAAAGAAACCTGGCTCAAATACGAAGACGAACTCGCTCAAATACGAAGTCAGCGTGCCATGCTACTATCCCCCGGATAGTGGCATGGCACGCTGAGTAGCATGCCAGCTTCAGCTCCAGTTCTGGTATCGTTCATGGAGGCGACGACTTGGTGAAGCCCATGGTAGTCAAACGTGCACTGGAAAGTGGCCGAGAGTTCCTCACGTGTTTTTTCTGTTGCCACGTGCTGAAAGAGGTCGGCATGATGAGCGCGGATCTCGCACTTGCAGTACTTGCACGCTGCTCCTTTATCGTCTCTGGTGACTGGTCGTAGCCAGTCCTTAAGCTGTGTTTCCTTTTCCCACTCTTTACAATATCTTTTGCCATACTTCGACCACTTCGAAGCCATTTTGCGCAAAATACAATGGCAACTAGACACGACGACCGCGACTGCCTACTGGCAAGATGCGCAAGGTGCCAAAACATTTGTGGATAGTAATTGACGGATCTCACCAAGCGTTCGGCGCATGCGTGGCACCGCCATAACTTTAGTTTACAGGAGGCAAAAGGCAATGCACGAGAGGGCTTGTGCTGTCTGGTGCTCCACACGCGCAGAGCTCCAGCGATGTTTTCGCACGTGCAGAAAGACTAAAGTTCCCTCGATGCATTGCGGCAGCGGTGGCGTAGTCAAACTGGCTGGTGAGATCGGTCTATTGGTTTGTACTTTGAGACGGACGGTAGCTTGCGCCACCTAACCATGGCGCCAAACGGTCATGCTGTTTTTCGCGTTTTTGACGACAAACGCGCTGTCCATGAAAATGACGAGCAATAAAATAACAATATTTGCGTGAAAAACGCGAATAAGCCCAAAAAACGCGACAAGCGACTGGAAAAATCTACCAGCGACTCGGTGAAAAAAGAACCCCGATTCTGCTTATAATAAGCGGAACTGGCCACCCTGGTAGAGGACGAAGACGGGAACGCATCAGCAAGCCTCGTACTTGCGGAGTCTCGAGTGGCGCCGCTGACGCGGCTGATGCTCCCTCGTCTAGAGGTGCTGGGACCTTTGATTGGAACACGTCTTGTTCACTACCTTATCACGACAATGAGCCTCCAGATGAATACGTTCTACTGGACTGACTCAATAATTGCACTTCATTGCATTAAGGGCCAGGCATCAAAATTGGAAACCTTTCGTTGGAAACAGGGTGAATGAGATACAAACCCAAAGCGACCCCGCCAGCTGGAACCACTGCCCGGGAAGTCAAAACCCAGCGGACATGTTGACGAGGGGAACTGGCGCTCAGGCGTTGATCGAAAGCCGACACTGGTGGCACGGCCCCGAATGGATTCAGGCGGAACCTGGCGACTGCCCTAAGAGTCTGGCGTGGTGCGACAGCATACCGGCTATGCAGGATGAACGAGGACGGGAGCACCACGTGCTGCACGCCGCAAAAGAGACAACGCCGGAGCTACTGAATCCGAGCAGCTATAGTCGCCTTCTCAGACCCCCCTCAGAGACGTCACCAGACGTTGGCTACACCGGCAAAAGCTTCTGGATCAGTTCTGGAGGAGGTGGCAAAAGAAATACCTCCTCCAGCTCCGCTCCGCGCACAGATCAATAGAGACCCGCACAAATGAATTCCGGAACTGGGACCTCGTTCTTATCCACGAAGAAAAGACGCCTCGGCTCATGTGGAGAACGGGAAGAATTAAAGACGTTCAACTGGGCCGAGACTGTCATGTGCGCTCGTGCTTGGTGCGTCAGCCCAGCGGGGCTACTCTTCGTCGCCCCGCGCAACTGCTCTATCCCCTGGAACTCGCCGAGTGAATGAACTCAGCACACTTTTTCGCCCGGGGGAGGATGTTGCAGATTTTAATGAAGGTGTTATGTTAGCTTAAGAAATACAAGAACCCTGGTGTGATGTAGATGCCGAACCGACATGAAAGAGAAAGAGGCAAAAGAAAAAGGAGCTACGCGAACGAGTCGGGTGAAAGGCCGCCCCCCCCCCCCCCGCTCCCCCCCCCCCCCCCCCCCCGAAATCTTTCATTTTGCTGGGGCCTCCTCTCCCCCCTCCCCCGAGACAAAATCCTGGCTACGTGCCTGCCAGATATGGTTTCTAGAGAGCTACATGAAGCTTTTGAAATCAAAACAAAGGGCGAGAAATGTATAAGTGGCACGTCACTGTGCATATCGGCAAATGAGTACTCTTTTTTGTTACAGGGGCTACACCGGAATCAGCCATGACTGCTTGTTTTCCCCGGCAAAATATATGGTCTTTTTATAAAAAATAATTGCCAGCGCGCCTCTGTTCGTCTACTTCGTTGCTCCTATGTTTCATTTTCGCGTACCTACTTAGCATGAACCAACTGCCGCAAATGGCCACTTTGATGCAACCTGTGAACTCTGGCTAGGACTCATTATGCTTAGTTCTTTCTTTTTTATTTTAACTTAAACGGAAGCTACCATGAGTGTTAACACAAATATCTTGTCCTTAAAACTGTATTTTGTCTGTCTCAACGCACATCTTCGTATCATTTCGATATAGTTCGTTCATTTGTTTTGTTCCCAATACCGTCTGTTTTCTTTGTGGCAAAAAGGCTTCGCCTTGTTTTTCTTCCCCACAAGGATCGGTCCCCAGTGACTGAGCCCTCGATTGTCTTTTCCTGTAGAGCGGAGAAAATTTAATAAGGTTCCAGCTTTGAAAAACGAGCTGCCTGCGAGCTCATTGGTCTTGCTCCAGACAGAACAAAGGGGGCAATTCGCAGTGCGCCAAGTGGGCGCACTTATTGATAGGGCATTGGCTGCAGTATCGAAGTATTTTCAAAAGACCAAAAAAGACGTATGGATTGTAAAGCGCGAAATGTTTAAAATGTTTTGTGATGATGAGCTGACTGCCACGTTAAACGAGACTGTGGGGTTTTCGCGTTTTTCATTTCCGAAAAAGTTTCTGGTAAAAGATCATAAGGAAGTCCTCTTGTTCCACGTGGTTGTTAATAAGAACAGTTCGTGACAGAACGTTTTTGCTGCGCCCCTAAGGTACGTTCATCTTGAAGTTAGCTTGTCTCTCCGCAATTCAGAGAAGTTGCTTGATAGCATGTCTACCCTTCACGCGAAAACCTGTGCTTTGATGTCCCAAATAATAAATATTTATGTAACTCCTTGGAGTCGGGTGAGAGTTATATTGTAGCTTAATTTAATTTAGTTTCAAGCTCAAACGGGGATTTTGGGAGGCGTATTGTTAGGACTCTTGAACTGTTATTTAAGGTCTACCGTGGTAAAGTTTAACTGATAGTCTTTTATTCAGCGGAGCGGTGTGTGTATCGGTTGGTTCCACAGTGGCTCCGCTGTTGTCCGAATTTTATCTCAATC